GTGATGCTATATGGTTGCTAGGGTGTTCGGATGGTTACTAGGGTGTTGTGGGTGATGCTGTATGGTTGCTAGGGTGTTCGGGTGGTTACTAGGGTGTTGTGGGTGATGCTGTATGGTTGCTAGGGTGTTCGGGTGGTTACTAGGGTGTTGTGGGTGATGCTGTATGGTTGCTAGGGTGTTCGGGTGGTTACTAGGGTGTTGTGGGTGATGCTGTATGGTTGCTAGGGTGTTCGGGTGGTTACTAGGGTGTTGTGGGTGATGCTGTATGGTTGCTAGGGTGTTCGGGTGGTTACTAGGGTGTTGTGGGTGATGCTGTATGGTTGCTAGGGTGTTCGGGTGGTTACTAGGGTGTTGTGGGTGATGCTGTATGGTTGCTAGGGTGTTCGGGTGGTTACTAGGGTGTTGTGGGTGATGCTGTATGGTTGCTAGGGTGTTCGGGTGGTTACTAGGGTGTTGTGGGTGATGCTGTATGGTTGCTAGGGTGTTCGGGTGGTTACTAGGGTGTTGTGGGTGATGCTGTATGGTTGCTAGGGTGTTCGGGTGGTTACTAGGGTGTTGTGGGTGATGCTATAGGGTTGCTAGGGGCACTTAGGATGTAGGAGATGCTGTAGGTGTCTGGTTCAAGGTGTTCCTTTAAAGTGATTAATTTTTTTATAGTCAACCTGATGAAAACGGTAAGTCTGATTAGTGTCAGGTTTCTTAAACTGGGGTCAGTGGGGGAACTGCAGAAGTTTGATGATTTCATTAAAAGTCAATAATGAATTAAAAATCATATAAATATAAAATTAAAATCAAATTAAAATGAAAAAAAAAACTTTAAAAAAAAGTATGTTTTATCATGTGACCATTAACTGATATCAGAAAACTGTGAACATGCAAATGTGTTGTTAAATTACTGCAGTAGTAACTTAAAATCTCAGGGAGACTTCAAATAAATATTTTAACTCAAAGGAGATCGGCTGACAAAAATGTTTGGGAATCCTTGACCTTGTGTGTTTAAATCACTAACAATATCTAGTTGTGATTTTGCGATCAGAATTAATGCAGAGTGAACCAATTGCTGCATTATTTCTAGCAGGTTGCAATCTTCAATTATTTAAAAGCAATATAATAAAGCAATATTAGCTAATCAAAATCCATAATTCTGAGCCTAAACTAATTGATCAATATTTTCAAGTGATCTCCAATCAATTTCCAAATCATTCACAGAGACTCTTACGGTCACTGCTACTAATATGTGTCCCTGCAGCACAAAAGCAGTGTTAAGTCGCTGGGGGATATCTGTAGCAATAGCCAACAATACATTGTATGGGTCACAATTATACATTTCTCTTTTATGCCAAAAATCATTAGGATATTAAGTAAAGATCATGTTCCATGAAGATATTTAGTAAATCTCCTACCGTAAATATATCAAAACTTAATGTTTGATTAGTAATATGCATTGCTAAGAACTTCATTTGAACAACTTTAAAGATGATTTTCTCAATATTTAGATTGTTTTGCACCCTCAGATTCCAGATTTTCTAATAGTTGTATCTCGGCCAAATATTGTCTGATCCTAACAAACCATACATCAATGGAAAGCTTATTTATTTATAAGCTTATATAAGCTTTATATCTAAATTTCGAAAAATTGACCCTTATGTCTGGTTGCGTCCAGGGTCACATTTTATAAATACATAATGATTATTGTCTCTACTGCAAATTAACATGAAAAATGCAGCAAATATACATTTTTTAGAAAAGCTGCTGCAAATTCAGTCATTTAGGGTTACAAAATTCAGAGAAAAAATGTATCTAACTTCAACTGACTATCAGCAATAGCACCAGTGATGCATGACTTAACTCTTACCGTTCCAGCTTTAGGCGCGAGGTTGTCTCTGAGCTTTATGATGTATGTGATCTCATCTAACTGCTTCTTCAGCTGCTGCTCGTTCACCTGCAACACAAACACACAGTGCTGCCACTGCAGTTCTTACTCTCATCTCACCAACAGATGGCGCTAGTGACTGCATGTATCTGGTGCTGAATGTATAATGAACCGTTTTATCAACTCTACACGAGTCCAAACTCTTCAGATATGTGCACTTCCTATAACGTCACTTTAAAATGTCCTAGGAAAATAAAATCGCAGGAAACATTTTTCTGAACGCATGCAAACATACATCGAATATAGTGACGTAGTGTTGGATGAGATCCTCGATGACTCGGCCGGCGCTGTAGTCCTTCCCGTCCGCCTGGAAGAGAGTCGGTCCGAACACGATGGCCAGATTGTGAAGATTCATCTGATTGAGATCCGCAAACCGCTGGACGCTGCAAACGCACACACATCAGAAGGTCTGAGAGAGACTTTCAACACTTCTCTGAAAGGAGAGCTATGAGGAAGTGCTCTATGAGAAAGAGGAAGAGTGCTTGTCTCACCAGTATAAATGATTAACTAGCGCGCGTAGCGTCGCCTGATTGACTCGGGGAAGGTTACTGAACAGAAGACGATACTGACAGATCCGACTGCTCTCGTCTGAAAAAGCTGAACACACACACTATATGACATTTGGATTATTTCACTTCACTTGTCTTCTTTCAGACTAGTGAAAAACATCAAAAATAGACATTTAAGGGTTTATTTAATTGTACTTTATCCATTTGCGTCTGTAGATTTCAATAACAGTACATGTTTATATCTGGAGTTTATTTCTGCACTTACAAACACCAAAACTTAGAGCTTTACTCATATCTATATTCTGAAGGGTTTGTTCATATATCATTCACACTCATTTATACAACATTATATTCCTAAAAACATGGTGAAAATGAATATTTTTAAAGGCTGTGAGTTTATTTCTGCACTTCTGCAGCACTTACATGCACCAAAACTTAGGGGTTTATTCATATCTATAATCTGAAGGATTTTACTGAAGGGTTTGTTCATACAGTATATCATTCACACTGATTTCTAAAACAATTGTATTCCTAAAACATGGTAAAACTGTTTGTTTTCAGTCTGTTGACAGTATTATTTTATCCATTTGCGTCTGTAGATTTCAATAACAGTACATGTTTATATCTGGAGTTTATTTCTGCACTTACAAACACCAAAACTTAGAGCTTTACTCATATCTATATTCTGAAGGATTTTACTGAAGGGTTTGTTCATACAGTATATCATTCACACTGATTTCTAAAACAATTTTATTCCTAAAACATGGTAAAACTGTGTTTGTTTTCAGTCTGTTGACAGTATTACGCAGTGATAAAAAAGAGAAATCTAAAATCTCCTCTTATAAAAACCTTTAACTCTAATATGCCAACAAAATCAGACAAGAATTTAGAACCAACGTTCAGATTTCTGTTCTGAAAATGAATGCAAATGAGTGCATATTTCATTAGATAATGCATATTTAAACATAACATTTCAGAAACTTGTCATAAAAAACAATTGTCTTAATATACTATAATTAATCGACTTGGGAAAGTATGGTGATATCTATTAGTTAACATTTAACTGTAGCGTCGTGCCGTAATAATAATAATAATATATAATTTCATAATATTCCAGTGGTCTAAACCTGTAGCGCTGAGCCAGCTGTGCGCCTCCAGGCCAAACAATCCCTCCTCGATGCCTCTGAAGAAGCGCTTGAGGACGTTGGAGACGTCATCCACCTGATGTTCACCTTCCTTCAGCCAAACGCACCTGGCGTCGCGTCTGAACTCCTCCAGCAGGGCGGCGACCTTACTGTTCACACCACTCTTACGGTAGATTCCCTCTGAGGTCAAACCTGCAGGACACACACACACAACATCATTTACACGCAGCAACACACACTTATGATGCTTAATGGACCCCTAACAACATAATATTAATAGAACTATAAAATATCAAAAAGTTTCATTTTAATATATTTAACCTGACTTTAAAGACATTATGGACAAAAGGTATTTCTATAAACCTTTCTGTAACGCTGTTTTGACACAGTGTCATGAAAAGTGCTACACAAATAATGGTGATTCGGCTTGTGTTTTCTGGTTAGTATTTCAGTTTATCACTGCTTTCAAGTCCATTAGTGTGTCAAGCTTTTTGTTGTTAATGTTTCTATCACGTGATACTTCAATGCTTTTCCTCCTGAACAAAGTACTGTCTGACCGTCCCCTGATTCACAAATGCTTGGCAAAATCAGTCCAAACGAATCATGAAATTGAATCAGAGAGGGCTCAGAAGCTGATGTCTGCAGGGACACATTTACTCTCATGGTTTCATGTCATCATCTGTTAATATGTTACGTGTACATCTAGGAGCTCATTAAATCTCATTAGGTGAGCTCACTGTTTAATACTAGTTAGTAAGATAAAGATCACATGATCACTGAGACACAAGAGGAATCTGTTGTTTAAGTGATGTGTGTGTGTGTGTGTGTGTGTGTGTGTCTGCAGTCAAACATTTACATGAGTTTCTCAGAACAATTTCATTTAAATCAAATTGGATTCATTTGCCTCTGATTCTTTAGACAGAAAGAAAGACTTGATTGAAGTTTCTTTCACAAAAAAAAACTGAGAATAAGAGTAGGATAGAATTCAGTGAGGTTGAATATGAAATCGAATAGAGTTGAACAAAGCCGAACAATTGAACAGAAGTTAATTAAAAACAAGGTGAGTCGAGAAGTTTAGAATGGAGTAGAACAAAGCTGAATCAAGTAGAAAAGAACTGAACTTGGTCAGAAAGAGTAAATAGAGTAAAGTAGAATTAAAGTGTAGAATTAAGTTGAATGGAGCAGAACAACTAAACAGATTTAAATGGAGACGAACAAAGAAAAATTAAGTATGAAGAACAAAGTAGAAAATAACTGAATTGGGTCAGAAAGAGTTAAATAGAGAAAAGCGGAATTAAAGTGTAGAATAGAGTTGAATAGAGCAGAACAACCGAACAAATTCGAAAGTAGATTTGAAGAGATTAGAATAAAGAAGAACATCTGAATCAAGTAGAAAAAACAGAATTGGGTCAGAAAGAGTTAAATAAAGCAGAATTAAAGAGTGTAGAATAGAGTTGCCCAACCAGATTTGCATGGGGTTGAACAAAGTAGAGTTGAGAAGATTAGAATAAAGTAGAACAGCAGAATCAAGTAGAAAAGAACAGTATTGGGTCAGAAAGAGTTAAATGAAGCTGATTTAAAGAGTGTAGAATAGAGTTGCCCAACCAGATTTGCATGGGGTTGAACAAAGTAGAGTTGAGAAGATTAGAATAAAGTAGAACAGCAGAATCAAGTAGAAAAGAACAGTATTGGGTCAGAAAGAGTTAAATGAAGCTGATTTAAAGAGTGTAGAATAGAGTTGCCCAACCAGATTTGCATGGGGTTGAACAAAGTAGAGTTGAGAAGATTAGAATAAAGTAGAACAGCAGAATCAAGTAGAAAAGAACAGTATTGGGTCAGAAAGAGTTAAATGAAGCTGATTTAAAGAGTGTAGAATAGAGTTGCCCAACCAGATTTGCATGGGGTTGAACAAAGTAGAGTTGAGAAGATTAGAATAAAGTAGAACAGCAGAATCAAGTAGAAAAGAACAGTATTGGGTCAGAAAGAGTTAAATGAAGCTGATTTAAAGAGTGTAGAATAGAGTTGCCCAACCAGATTTGCATGGGGTTGAACAAAGTAGAGTTGAGAAGATTAGAATAAAGTAGAACAGCAGAATCAAGTAGAAAAGAACAGTATTGGGTCAGAAAGAGTTAAATGAAGCTGATTTAAAGAGTGTAGAATAGAGTTGCCCAACCAGATTTGCATGGGGTTGAACAAAGTAGAGTTGAGAAGATTAGAATAAAGTAGAACAGCAGAATCAAGTAGAAAAGAACAGTATTGGGTCAGAAAGAGTTAAATGAAGCTGATTTAAAGAGTGTAGAATAGAGTTGCCCAACCAGATTTGCATGGGGTTGAACAAAGTAGAGTTGAGAAGATTAGAATAAAGTAGAACAGCAGAATCAAGTAGAAAAGAACAGTATTGGGTCAGAAAGAGTTAAATGAAGCTGATTTAAAGAGTGTAGAATAGAGTTGCCCAACCAGATTTGCATGGGGTTGAACAAAGTAGAGTTGAGAAGATTAGAATAAAGTAGAACAGCAGAATCAAGTAGAAAAGAACAGTATTGGGTCAGAAAGAGTTAAATGAAGCTGATTTAAAGAGTGTAGAATAGAGTTGCCCAACCAGATTTGCATGGGGTTGAACAAAGTAGAGTTGAGAAGATTAGAATAAAGTAGAACAGCAGAATCAAGTAGAAAAGAACAGTATTGGGTCAGAAAGAGTTAAATGAAGCTGATTTAAAGAGTGTAGAATAGAGTTGCCCAACCAGATTTGCATGGGGTTGAACAAAGTAGAGTTGAGAAGATTAGAATAAAGTAGAACAGCAGAATCAAGTAGAAAAGAACAGTATTGGGTCAGAAAGAGTTAAATGAAGCTGATTTAAAGAGTGTAGAATAGAGTTGCCCAACCAGATTTGCATGGGGTTGAACAAAGTAGAGTTGAGAAGATTAGAATAAAGTAGAACAGCAGAATCAAGTAGAAAAGAACAGTATTGGGTCAGAAAGAGTTAAATGAAGCTGATTTAAAGAGTGTAGAATAGAGTTGCCCAACCAGATTTGCATGGGGTTGAACAAAGTAGAGTTGAGAAGATTAGAATAAAGTAGAACAGCAGAATCAAGTAGAAAAGAACAGTATTGGGTCAGAAAGAGTTAAATGAAGCTGATTTAAAGAGTGTAGAATAGAGTTGCCCAACCAGATTTGCATGGGGTTGAACAAAGTAGAGTTGAGAAGATTAGAATAAAGTAGAACAGCAGAATCAAGTAGAAAAGAACAGTATTGGGTCAGAAAGAGTTAAATGAAGCTGATTTAAAGAGTGTAGAATAGAGTTGCCCAACCAGATTTGCATGGGGTTGAACAAAGTAGAGTTGAGAAGATTAGAATAAAGTAGAACAGCAGAATCAAGTAGAAAAGAACAGTATTGGGTCAGAAAGAGTTAAATGAAGCTGATTTAAAGAGTGTAGAATAGAGTTGCCCAACCAGATTTGCATGGGGTTGAACAAAGTAGAGTTGAGAAGATTAGAATAAAGTAGAACAGCAGAATCAAGTAGAAAAGAACAGTATTGGGTCAGAAAGAGTTAAATGAAGCTGATTTAAAGAGTGTAGAATAGAGTTGCCCAACCAGATTTGCATGGGGTTGAACAAAGTAGAGTTGAGAAGATTAGAATAAAGTAGAACAGCAGAATCAAGTAGAAAAGAACAGTATTGGGTCAGAAAGAGTTAAATGAAGCTGATTTAAAGAGTGTAGAATAGAGTTGCCCAACCAGATTTGCATGGGGTTGAACAAAGTAGAGTTGAGGAGATTAGAATAAAGTAGAACAGCAGAATCAAGTTGAACAGATTTGTGTCAGAAAGAGCTGAATAGAGTACAGCAGAATAGAGTTGAGTACCGTATTGAGTGGTGAAATGAATGCAGCGCTCCACGATCACGGGAATGTCGGCCTCCGTCAGCTGCTGCTGACTCAGTGTGTCTCCAGAACTCCCAGCATTCCTCTGGATGGCTGCCGCCCAGCCCAGGAAGTCCAGCTTCCTCTCGCCCTCGATGTACAGCGTCCTGCGGGGAGACGTCCTGTTAGTCAGCTTCCGCCCGCCGTCACAAACACATGAGACTTAACTGGGTTAACCTCGACCTGCTCACCTGCCTCGCTCCACCAGAACCAGAACCTCATTCTCCGGCTGGATCGCTGCACACACACACACACACACACACACACACACACGCTCAGTTCACAGCAGGGTCAATAATGAACTTTTCTATTAAAGGTCAATATTTGGCAGCTGTAATTGATTTCCAGGAGCATTTTTACATTCATAAAGGCAATTTCTATAAATACCTTATTGAAAGCATCAGTGTTGTCTTTTTATGACAAATACTTCTTAATCACCAGTGACTAATTTAAAGAGTTCTGACTGGCCACTACATTCATGCACTCAACAGAAACGTGTGATTGGTTATGATGCTCAACACTGCGAAAAACAACCGCTAAACAGGAATCTTTGGTGTAATGTGAGCAGATCTAAACGTAATGCCATTAGGGTTGCAATAAGTCAGAACATTTCCTGGATTTTTTGGAAACTTTTGAAAAGTTTAGAGACATTTTCTGGAAATTCTCCACCCCTTAAAGAACAGAATTGGGTCAGAAAGAGTTAAATAAAGCAGAATTAAAGAGTGTAGAATAGAGTTGCACAACCAGATTTGCATGGGGTTGAACAAAGTAGAGTTGAGGAGATTAGAATAAAGTAGAACAGCAGAATCAAGTTGAACAGATTTGTGTCAGAAAGAGCTGAATAGAGTACAGCAGAATAGAGTTGAGTACCGTATTGAGTGGTGAAATGAATGCAGCGCTCCACGATCACGGGAATGTCGGCCTCCGTCAGCTGCTGCTGACTCAGTGTGTCTCCAGAACTCCCAGCATTCCTCTGGATGGCTGCCGCCCAGCCCAGGAAGTCCAGCTTCCTCTCGCCCTCGATGTACAGCGTCCTGCGGGGAGACGTCCTGTTAGTCAGCTTCCGCCCGCCGTCACACACATATGAGACTTAAACGGGTTAACCTCGACCTGCTCACCTGCCTCGCTCCACCAGAACCAGAACCTCATTCTCCGGCTGGATCGCTGCACACACACACACACACACACACACACACACACGCTCAGTTCACAGCAGGGTCAATAATGAACTTTTCTATTAAAGGTCAATATTTGGCAGCTGTAATTGATTTCCAGGAGCATTTTTACATTCATAAAGGCAATTTCTATAAATACCTTATTGAAAGCATCAGTGTTGTCTTTTTATGACAAATACTTCTTAATCACCAGTGACTAATTTAAAGAGTTCTGACTGGCCACTACATTCATGCACTCAACAGAAACGTGTGATTGGTTATGATGCTCAACACTGCGAAAAACAACCGCTAAACAGGAATCTTTGGTGTAATGTGAGCAGATCTAAACGTAATGCCATTAGGGTTGCAATAAGTCAGAACATTTCCTGGATTTTTTGGAAACTTTTGAAAAGTTTAGAGACATTTTCTGGAAATTCTCCACCCCTTTGCAACCCTAAATGCCACAATCAACATGTTTCATTCATTTTCACATTTCACTTTAACGGTCGTAATTGATTTAATTCTGCAGGGGCATTTTTGCTCATTTTGGTGATATTTTTGATGATTTTCGTGCTATTTTTGTTGGTTTTGGTAGGTTTTTTTTGTTGCATTTTTTTAATTTGGTTGCATTTTTGGTGTCATTTTGATGGTTTTGGTGGTATTTCTGCTGATTTTCATGCTATTTTTGTTGGTTTTGGTGGTGATTTTGGTAGTATTTTTGGTGATTTTGGTTGCATTTTTTGTTGTCATTTTGTTGTTTTGGTGCTATTTTTGCTGAATTTCATGCTATTTTGTTGGTTTTGGTGGTATTTTTGGTTGCATTTTTATTTTGGCTGCATTTTTGGTGTCATTTTGTTGGTTTTGGTATTATATATATATATATGTTGATTTTGGTAACATTTTTGATGATTTTGGTGGCATTTTTGTTGGCTTTGGTGTCATATTAGTTGATTTTGGTGACATTTTTGATGATGCGAAAAACAACCGCTAAACAGGAATCTTTGGTGTAATGTGAGCAGATCTAAACGTAATGCCATTAGGGTTGCAATAAGTCAGAACATTTCCTGGATTTTTTGGAAACTTTTGAAAAGTTTAGAGACATTTTCTGGAAATTCTCCACCCCTTTGCAACCCTAAATTCCACAATCAACATGTTTCATTCATTTTCACATTTCACTTTAACGGTCGTAATTGATTTAATTCTGCAGGGGCATTTTTGCTCATTTTGGTGATATTTTTGATGATTTTCATGCTATTTTTGTTGGTTTTGGTAGTTTTTTTTTTGTTGCATTTTTTAATTTGGTTGCATTTTTGGTGTCATTTTGATGGTTTTGGTGGTATTTCTGCTGATTTTCATGCTATTTTTGTTGGTTTTGGTGGTGATTTTGGTAGTATTTTTGGTGATTTTGGTTGCATTTTTGTTGGCTTTGGTGTCATTTTGTTGTTTTGGTGCTATTTTTGCTGAATTTCATGCTATTTTGTTGGTTTTGGTGGTATTTTTGGTTGCATTTTTATTTTTGTAATTTTTTATTTTGGCTGCATTTTTGGTGTCATTTTGTTGGTTTTGGTATTATATATATATATGTTGATTTTGGTAACATTTTTGATGATTTTGGTGGCATTTTTGTTGGCTTTGGTGTCATATTAGTTGATTTTGGTGACATTTTTGATGATTTTGGTGGCATTTTTGTTGGCTTTGGTGTCATATTAGTTGATTTTGGTGACATTTTTGATGATTTTGGTGGTTTTTGCTGATTTTTATGCCATTTTTTCTATTTCGGTTGCATTTTTGTTGGGTTTTGGAGTCAATTTGTTGATTTTGGTGGCATTTTGTGACTCACAGAGCTCCAGCAGCTTCTGCAGGTCGATGGTCTCGTCTGCGGTGTGCTCCTCCAGCCGGATGTGCAGGTTGGATCCCACCAAACAGAACCAGCCCAGTCTCGACATCTCCCGGTTCAGTCTGTCTTTATAACGCAGCCGGCCGATGCGCTCAAAGTCCTTCAGTAACAGATGCTCCACACCCGCAGGAATGAACGACTGTAACACAGAGAGGTGTTATGAAAATGAGATGCTGTTCAAACCCGATAAAACCCGTCGAGCGGTTCAGAACAGGTGTGACGTCACCTTTGCGATGGATTTGACCCACTCGCGCATGGTCTCGGGATTATCAGTGCCGAACAGATACAAGCGCTCGGCGTCCGAGTACAGCTCAAACGTGTGATCGTACCTAAAGAAAGAGACGTTTATATTATCAGGCTGTCAGAAAGGTGACAGTCCTTAAACACATGCTGTGGGCCAGATTACCCATGAGTCTCAGGAGGGCTGACAGCCAGACAGACGATCTCCTTCATCTTCAATCCTCCGTTCGGTGTAGCGTTTTTGTCACTTTCATAGTAGCTAAAATTCCCGTCATTCAGCACACACCAGCGCCGACTGAACTCTATCAGACACAGACGGACAGACTCAAATCAGATTAAATTATTCTGAAACCATTTTGCACATAACATTTCAGAAAAATGATTGGCTCACCTTCTTTTCCCTTCTTCTCTGTGATTGGTCGAGCCATGGAGGCGGTCTTAAACAGAAACCCATTATGCGTGACGGAGGGCGGGGCCATGTAGTGCACCCTATCTATGGCAACCTTCACCTCTGACCTCGGGAGTTCTGTAGGTCAAAAGGTCAAATGTCAGTAAACATAGTATACTGACGTAGTTATAGCAACGTTCTCCGAGGCACACACCTGTGTTGCGGTTCTGCATGAGGAGCTCCAGCTGCAGGTTCTGTCCGTGGTGTTGGGCCAGAGCGATCGGGGAGGGCAGCTCGGGGTCGCCGGTGTCGCAGCTCACATCAGCGCCACAGAACACCAGCGCCAGCGTCTCACACACATCGCTCGACTGAACGTTAATGCACAGCGCCTGCGGAGAGAGAGCACCAGCGCAGTGATGTCACGGCACAGGAATCTACAGCGGATCATGGGAACACGTGTGGAACATGTGTGTGTGTCAATGACGTCCTTCAATCAGTGAAACAAAAACCAGGTCACAAAATAAAATCAGATGTCAGATGAAAGGGAAGGCAGCGATAATGTCTGTTCATACACAACCAACGCACACAAGAAGAAAGACAGAGAGAATGTAAACAGGCTCAACAACAAGACAGGTGAGTTTCCTGAACGACTAGCTGACTAGCTGGTCTTAATAATGGGGCTGCTTTAGGGTCATTATGATTTATGAACACTAAATGCTGACTGTCGACATATAGATATACTAGATTATCCAGAATGTTTGTTGCACAAAAATACCAGAATAAATTTGTTACACAAGAGCTGACTTGACGGATGTAGTTTCGAAGACTTTCCTAAAAATATTTTTTAAAATAATAATAATAAATAATTAAAAAAATTAATTATTCTAATTTAAATTATTATAATAATCTTAATATTTTATTATTAAATATAATAAATATTATTATTAAAACACACACACACAGACATGTTTTAATGATCATAACAATAATATAAAAAATTATTAATGTACAGATTTTAAAGTACTTTTCGTATTTTATTTAATATTATATTATTAATATTGTTATAATAATTATTACAACTATTAACACACAGACACATACATTTACACACATTCATATTATTGTTTGATTACAGATTTTTATTTGTATTATTTTAACCCTAAAAGGGGCGACGTATCCTGGGAGATACAAACATTTGAGAAGCTGTGGAGAGAAGCAGTGATAGTGCAGGTCTCATTTCTTGTTTTCATGTTGAAAGGGTGTTTGTTGTGAATATTTAGATGAGGTGACTTTGTTTCTACATTCTTTGTTTAGTTCACGGGCAGCATTTAAAACTGCATGGCCGCCTGTCGTGGGAAATCCACTCACCCTGCGATAAAAGTTGACATGCTGGAGGGACTTACCTGGTTAAAAAAGCTGTTGTTCAGCATTAGCTTATTAGGTTTACATTGAAATTTTATAAATTAAATTAAAGTAGCGTTCATGTTTACAGCCGTTACTGGAGAACCCGCTAGTTCCGCCGCTCTCACAGCGCCTCCTGCTGGCAGACAAGCAGTTTGCATTTAATAATAAACCCGTCTCCAGCAACATGCTTCTGTTGTTGCTCTATTTTTGTGTTTTCTGAAGCAACTCGGAGCATGTTTCATACTCGTTCAAAATGTTACCGTTTTTGCTGTATTTTGGATCAAATAAATGCAGGCTTGGTGAGCAGAAGAGAATTCTTTAAAAAACATTAAAAATCTTACTGTTCAAAAACTTCTGACTGGTATGTTAGCCTATAGTTTGAAGTAAAAAAAAATTTATATTAATAAGGAGAGTCTGAGATTTATTTGACAGGGATTTCACATTTCTATGAAGGCTAAATACCAATAAAAGGTGAACATTTATTTATTTGTGCCATTTTTTCCCTAAAATATCGTCCAGCCCTAAGTTAATGAAATTACGGTATTTAACTGTAAATTTAAGATAAAACCGTAAAACCTAAAATGTTGCTACCATATTTTTTACGGTAAAATTCTGGCAATCACAGATGCCGTTTTTTTACCGTACATTTTTTTTACAGTGTACATATAGACTGTGTGACTTTGTGGCTTGTGCCTTTTTGTAATCTTGACAAAACATATCGTTGGAAAGGTCTACCAGTCAAGATTCCATATTTGGTGACTGTTGAAGTCATATTGTGACAGAAAATTATTGATTTGTGACAGAAAACTGCATTAGAAAAATTAAATAGGGTTTGGGTGTAACCCCGTGGTTATTTTTGGTATAGTGCCCAAAGAAAATCTCACAGGAACCACAATTTTTGTGATATCAACTTCAAATTTGGAACATAAATCGGTTAGACATATGGCTTTGATTTTATAGCCATTTTAGAGTGCAACATTTTATAAAATATTTATTTTATAGAAAATAAAAAAATGAGTATACTACATTATCTTTACTGTAAACTTAAACTTTTATAACTTTTTTTATACTTTCTTTTTTTGAAATGCTTTCACTTCAGCAATAATCTGCTATGTGTCTTCTTTAAAAAGAGACCAACGTTACGTCTGTACACCAAAGCGTTCAGGAATTACAACCATGCTGTAACAAGCATTGATAAACAAGATTTCTGTTTTCGGTGAATTTATACCAACAAAGCAGCGACGTATCCTGGGGAATACAAACATTACACTCCTCGACATCTCATGAATCTGTCTTTCTGTTTCCTGTGTGTGTGTGAGAAATGTTCCTGTGTCTCTTCTGAATTCCCCTGCTCTGCTGCAGACCACCCACCTGATATCAACACACACACACACACACACATACACACACACACACACTCACAGACACTCAAACTCTCACACACTCACGCACACACACACACACCCACTCACACACCCACTATCACACCCACTATCACACCCACTATCACACACACTATCACACACACACATCAGATCTGGAGTGTGTGCTTTGGGTTTCCAAATCAGCTTAAAAGTTTGTGCGTCTGTTAAAAGTGCTATAAAACCACAGGTCTGGATCCACCCAAACCAGACAATGAGTGTGTGTGTGTGTGCGTGTGTGTGTGTGTGTGTGTGTGTGTGTGTGTGTGTGTGTGTGTGTGTGTGTGTGTGTGTGAGAGTGAGAGTGTGTGTGTGTGAGAGTGAGTCAGTGTGTGTGTGAGAGTGAGAGTGTGTGTGTGTGTGTGAGAGAGTGAGTGAGTGAGT